CTGATGGAGTCACAGAATTCCATTGTGTATATATACCACATTTTCTTGATCCATTCATCTACTGAGGGGCATCTGGGTTGGTTTCATATCTTAGTTATGGTAAATAATGCTGCAATAAACATATTTGTGCTGGTAGTTTTAGTATGGTCTTGTTTGTGATCATTTGGGTAAATGCCCAAAAGTGGGATTGCTGGGTCATAGGGGAGTTCTCTGTGGAGTCTTTTGAAGAACCTCCATACTACTTTCCAAAGTGCTTGAACAAGTTTACACTCCCACCAACAATTCAGTAAAGGTTCCCTTCCGTCCACATCCCCTCCAGCATCTGTTGTTATTAGAGTTCTTGATTCTAGCCATTCTAACTGGGGTGAGGTGGTATCTCAATGTTGTTTTGATTTGCATTTCTATTATGGCTAGGGAGGTTGAGCATTTCTTTTTTTTTTTTTTTTTTTGAGGTCCAGTTGTGGGGCCTGAACTCTTGGCCTAGGCGTTGTCCCTCAGGTCTTCAGCTCAAGGCTAGCGCTTTACCACTTGAGCCACAGCGCCACTTCCAGCTTTTTTTCTTTTTGCTTATGTGGTGCTGAGGAATAGAACCCAGGGCCTCAGGCATGCAAGGCAAGCACTCTACCACTGAGCCACCTTCCCAGCCCGAGGTTGAGCATTTCTTCATGTGTCTATTGGCCATCCTTCTTTCCTCTTCAGAGAATTTTCTCTTTAAGTCCTTAGCCCACTTATTTATTGGGTAGTTGTTTCTTTGAGGATTTGTTGTTGGAAGATTTAATTTTTTGAGTTCCAGGTATATTTTAGATATGAGACCCTTGTCCATTGTATGGCTAGTGAAGATCTTTTCCCAATCCGTGGGCTTTCTATTGATCTTGCTAGCTATGTCCTTTGCCATGCAAAAGCTTTGCAATTTCATGCAATCCCATTTGTCCAGTCTTTCTTTGATTTGTTGTGTTTCTGGGTCTCTAGTAAGAAAATTTTGGCCTGTGCCAAGGAGACCTAGGGTTTCTCCTATTCCATCCTGTAATGTTATGAGCTGTTTTTTTTTTAATAAATTTTTACTTTTTACTAGTCCTGGGGCTTAAACTCAGGGCCTGGACACTGTCCCTGAGCTTCTTCTGCTCAAGGTTAGCACTCTGCCACTTCAGCCACAGCGCCACTTCTGGCTTTTTCTGAGGAGTCGAACCCAGGGCTTCACGGATGCTAGCAAGCACTCTACCACTAAGGCACATTCCCAGCCTGGGATTCTTTCTTTTTTTTTTTTTTTTTAAAGAATATAGATCAATTGTACTGCTGTTCCCTCTCCCTTAGTTTTTGTTTTGTTTTGTTTTACTCTTTGGCAAACTATATATCACATTTCTAATCTGCAAAAATGGGAACACACCAATCTCAAAGTCAGCTTAAAAAATGTTAGATCTGGGCTGGGAAGGTGGCTCAGTGGTAGAGAGCTTGCCTTATGTGCATGAGGCCCTGAGTTCGATTCCTCAGCACCATAAGCAGGGGAAAAAATGTTAGATCTGCTGGGCATCAGTAGCTCATGCCTACGCAAGGAGGCTGATCTGAGGATTGCAGTTCTAGGGCAGCCCAGGCAGGAAAGTCTCCATGAGGCATCTATCTCCAATTAACTACCAAAAAGCCAGAAATGACACTGGCTCTAAGAGCATTAGTCTTGAGCACAAAAACTCAGGGTCAATGCCAGGCCCTGAGTTCTAGCCCCAAGACTGGCACACACAAAGAAATATTAGGTCAGTTTTAGGAGCATTTTACCACATTTGGTGTATTAATAAAGGAGGGGTATTTCTGTGTCACCATCTTTAAAGAAAGAATGGTGCATATTTCAGAGTTACTACCAAATACAACGATCAGGCTCTTTTCAGCTCCACATTCAGTGAGTAGCTTTGTTCCCATGAAGCAGTAATTGCCAGTTCTAGTAATACTGTACTGGTTTACTTTCATCATCTAGATGATTTATCAAACAGTCCATGAAGACCTCATAATCCTATGTTAATGAAGCACTGCATCATGAGTCAATCTAAGTCTAGAGTCAGTAAGAACCAAATACCGGATCAAGTAAGCTTGATTAGAGATCATGGAAACCAGCTTTGAGAGAAAAATAGGAGAGCATTGCCATTATTGACAACTGGACAGCTAGAGATTGGTCCAAAGGAAGCAAGTCTCCTATCTTGTTCTTACCATGTGGTTGAAATAGATGGGATAGATACCCAGGCTCATCTCAGATCGTCCTTCACTGTTCTGACAAAGTAGTGAGGACAACATTGTTAAGATCCAAAAGAATGGCTAGACTCTTTCTTCACTTTAGGAACTGCCTGTAGGGTGAAAGTATAATTTGAATGTATGTGTACAGGTGGCAGAAGGTTAGCTGTTGAGAACCAGGTGGCAATTCTGATTATTTTTTTAAAAAATTCCAAAATGCTGGGTGCTATTGGCTCACACCTATAATCCTAGCTACTTAGAAGGCTGAGATCTGAGAATCAGCCAGCCTAGGAAGGAAAGTTTATGAGACTCCTATCTCTAATTAATCACCAGAAAACCAGAAGTGGCACTGTGGCTCAAGTGGTAGAGTGTTTGCCTTGAGCTGAAGAGCTGAGGGATAGCGCCCAGGCCCAGAGTTCAAGCTCCACAACTGACAAATAAATAAATAAATAAATACAAAATTGTATCTACCATGTAGTATTTTAAAATGTTATAACCTTTGTTTTTTAAAACATTAAGTCTCTCAATTTCTTCCTAGACCAAATGTACATGGAATGTTTCTATTTTATGTAGTTTGTTCACATTCATATGTATATAATAAAAACTCAGTTATCCACAAAAAAACAAACAACTCCTAGCTCATTTGTAAGAAGATAAGATGCTAATAAAAAGAAAAACAGCTGACTTCATACAGAGTCTAAAACTACAGTGGGATAATTCACTGATAATTTTTTTCTGGAAAAATAGTTTTGAGGAATTGTGTTTTTCTTTTTTGTTTGTATTTCTATTTGTTCTTTAAATTATTAATATTACTATTACTATTTATTATTTTTGCCTGTCCTGGGGCTTGAACTCTGGGCTGGGCATTGTCCCTAAACTTCTTTTTGCTCAAGGCTAGTGCTCTCCCAGTTGAACCATAACGCTGCTTCCAGCTTTTCTGTGATTAATTAGATATAAGAGTTTCAGGACCTTTCCTGTCCTGACTGGCTTCAAACCTCAATCCTCAGATATCTGTTACAGGCATGACCCACCATCCAATCTTAACTTATATTTAAAATTATATTTTTCCATTTTTATAATTAAGTTGTTGTACAAAGGGATTGTCATTCAACATATCAGTTTATGAGTACCTCACATCTTGATCAAGATCACCTGGTTCATTGTTCTCCCTCATGCCTCCCAACCCACCCATCTGCTCAGACTTCCCAGTTTCATAGAATCTGCATCAAATATTATGATTGCATTCTCTCTCCCAGCAGTAGTAACCTTATACACACAATGATTCCATATTAAACATGCAGTAGTTATACCACTGTTCTTCTTAGTTACAGGACTTTCAAGCTTTTATTAAGTAAAAATGCAAGTAGGTTACAATATAGATTTTTTTTTTTTGTCAGTTGGGCATCATGAATCTAGGCCTGGGCACTGTCCCTCAGCTCTTCAACTCAAGGCAAGTGCTCTACCACTTGAGCCACAGCGCCACTTCTGCTTTTCTGGTAGTTAACTGAAGATAAGAGTCCCACAGACTTTTCTACCCAGGCTGGCTTTGAACCTGGATTCTTAGATGTCAGCCTCCTAAGTAGCTAGGATTAAAGAAGTGAGCCACTGGCACCTGGCTTTACAATACCTACTTTGAAGTACAGTTTTTGAAAGTTTTATGATTTCTGGCTATACAACCCTTAGATTTATGTTCACATTTTAAGAAAAAGAAAGGAACAAACAGACTACAAGTACCCTGGCCCTGAGTTCAAGCTGAGTTCAGTAAGGGCGTAACACACATGCAAACACACATAAATACACACATACACATAAATACATACATAAATACAATAAATGAGTAGGAGAGAAAAGTAAGTATTAAAAGATAAAGCTTGGGTCAGGGAATGTGGCTTACTGGTAAGAGTGCTTGACTAGCATGCATGAGGCCCTGGGTTTGATTCCCTGGTACCACATAAACAAAAAAATAAATAAAATTAATTTAAAAAAATTTTTTGGGTTGGTCGTGGGGCCTGAACTCTGGGCCTAGGCACTGTCCTTCAGCTCTTTAGCTCAAGGGTAGCGCTCTACCACTTGAGCCACAGTGCCACTTCTGGCTTTTTTTTTCTGCTTATATGGTGTTGAGGAATCGAACCCATGCCCTCCTGCATGGGGCAAGCACTCTACCACTGAGCCTTCCCAGCACCTAATTTTAAAAAAATTTAAAAGAAGGACTATAAAATAAAGTTAAAGATAAAACTTGAGCTGGGTGCTGGTAGCCCATGCCTGTAATCCTAGCTACTCAGAAGTTTGAGATGTGAAGATTAAAGTTTGAAGCCAGCATAGGCAGAAAAGTTAATGAGACTCTATCTACAATTAACCAGAAAACTGGAAATGGAGCTATGGCTCAAAGTGGTAGAGGGTTAGCTTTGAGTATAAAAGCTCAGGGACTGTGCCCAGACTCTGAGTTCAAGCCTCATGACCAACAACAACAAAAAGATAAAGCTAAGGGGCTGGGAAGGTAGCTCAGTAGTAGTGTTTGCCTTGCATGCATGAGGCCCTGGGTTCAATTCCTCAGCACCACACAAACAGAAAAAGCTGGAAGTGGTGCTGTGGCTCAAGTGGTAGAGTGCTAGCCTTGAGCTGAAGAACTGAGGGACAGCACCCACGCTCAGAGTTTAGACCCCACGACTGACCAAAATAATAATAATAATAAAGCTAAGGAAGTAACAGGGTAGTGCTTTGCAGATCATGGGGGAAAAAAACATAGATTTTAGTCTATGTTCAAACTGCACTGCTTTTAGTCAGGTGCTCTTTACACTTACAATTACCCTCCCTCCTTTTTCTTTCTTTCTTTTTTCTTTCTTTCAGCAGGGGCCTGGCACAATCTAATATTTGCTTTCAGAAGATGGGTAGTTGTCAAGTGAAGAATTATTTGTAGAGGGGGAGGACTGGGGGGGGCAGGGGGAGGATGGGAAGGGATGGGAAGGGGAAACAAAGGAGGAGGCTACAATGCTTGATAAGAAATGTACTCATTATCTTGCCCATGTAATTGTAACCCCTCTGTACAGTATTTTCACAATAAAAAAATTATTTGTAAAAGTTAGAGAAAAGCAGAGGCCATGAAAGCAGGTGCAAGGTTACTGCAATAGCCCCATCAAGAGATGGTGACTGTAAGAGTAGCAGGAAGTGAATGTTCTAGAGTAAAATGGAAGAGCCTGCTGCTGGAATAGATATGGGTATGCAAGATGGGAAGGAGCGGCAGGTAATTCCCACATTTCCTACTGTAAATTACCTACTGAGTAGCCTGAGTGATTGGCTAAGGAACAGGTTGGGACAGAAGATGTATCAGGGGGCCTATTTTTGACATTACATTGCATATGCTGTTTTCCTGGAAAAGCAAATCTGGAGCATTTCAGTGTCAAATACCTGCTTAGCATGACCCAAGGAGATCTCTGCAGCCACAGTTACATTTTCTTTATCTGATGTGATGGCACAGCTTACTAGATGCCATTGCTCCACGTGCTGGGAAGACAAAAGCTTGGTAGTATAATCCCTCAGGAAAAAACGAGTTAACCTTGATCTTGCTCTGCTTTTTCCATAACTGCTAGTGTACTGAAGCCATGCCCCCAGCCTAGTCTAAAGTGTTTAACATTTAGGACACATTGTCTTTGAGATCCTAAAATGTAGGGTGTGAGCAGTTTGAGTGCTCCTAGTCAAGCCTGGCAAACATGACTCCAAGAAGAGGCTGAGGTGGGCCTGGCCAAGCCATCCTGTAGATGCCTTGCAGGGAGTAGAGCCTGGTTTCCCAGTCACACCCTCTAAGCCTTCCCCAGCGGTCCCAGACTTGTCCCAGATCTTCCCCCAGACCTTCTCCCAGCCTTCTTCAGCCTTCCCAGCCCTCCCCCAGCCTTCCCAGCCCTCCCCCGGCCTCCCCCAGCCTTCCCAGCCCTTCCCCGCCC